ACATTCTCATATTTACTATACTAGAATTGTCATACTATGGTAGGATTGGAACCTAGGGTGCTAAACTCTTTGTCCGGTAGAACAATAGAAATCACTTTTAAGCACAAGGGGTGAAATGCGCTAAGCGGTAGGACTTAATTGTTGCGAGAAATTTTAGATTAGCCCAATTCACCCCGCTCTTGGACATCTTGATCCTTTCAATATCCTTTACCCTAAAAATCATTACTATGAGACCGCGATATTTCGAAACCAAGAAATGATCTCATATTTTTAATTATTATGCCAAGCCAGTTCTTCAAAATTGCTACTCAGTGTAAGTGTTCAGTAAAAGCTTTCATGTGGCATAAAAAAACGTACACTTTTTTCATTTTGGCTAATGTATATTTGTACGAGACTTTGGCGATCCCTTCCTCAGTGTACAACAAGTGTGGGCATAGAAACATGTTTATTACACAAACAAGCACATATAAAACATTTCAGACAAAAGTAATCATCAGTTTTCCAACATGCTCCTAGGTAGCATCCGTCTTTTGTAACTCACCTCCACTTTCCCTCTAGGTTCTGGGGAAAGCTTTAGCCAATTGGTCTCGGGGAATGATGACACCAACTTGAGCTCAAAGTTCCTTAGCAAATAGCTCCATATCACCTTCACTTGCATATAGGCATAAGCTTCGCCAGGGCAAGCATGTCTTCCACCACTGAATGCGTTGTAAGTGAACTTTCCGCCAACTCTGTCTTCCTCCCTTCCATGACCAAACCGGTGGGGGTCATACACATCAGGGTCCTTGTAAATATAAGGAATGTTGTGGTTTATCACCAGAGGGCTTGCTATGGTATGTCCACTCGGAATCTCATACTCGTAGCCTTCTCTAGTCCGCACGGTGAAGTTCTTGCGCACCTTGCGAAGAAATATTGGTGCTGTAGGGTGCATCCGCAGTGCCTCCTTGATGCAGCAGTGTAGGAAACTCATCTCCAGAAGGGTATCGTAGTCTATGTTGTCCCCATGTTTCTTGACGATTTGCTGCTGCTCCTCAAGGGCAGCCTCCAAGCACTCTGTGTGGCTTAGAAGGCGAGCTCCAGTCCACGTGCTGCTGGTCGTGCTTGTGTGCTTCCCAGCAAAGAGGATGGCAATTATGAGCCCGGTAACCTCAGCTTCAGTCGTGTGTCGGCCATCCTTGTATTTGGAGTCTACCAGGTTCTGCAAAACATCCTCCTCGACTCGGTTGGAGCTCTTACGTGATCGAACAATCTCAGCGAAAATGCTTGAGAGCCTAGCACTCGCCCTGTCGCGACGTCGAGTCGTAGGTGTTGGGGCATATGGAAACAGCAAACTGGTCAGCTGCAAGCTGTTTTCTGTGAGTTCATGGAATGCAGAGAAAACCTCGTCGAACATCTTCTCCCGAACCTCTTTCCCGAGTAGGCAACGCGCTGAGATCAGCATTAGTAACTGCTCCAGTTCTTGCTTTAGATCAACGGTACCATGCTGTCCCCATTTCGCAAAGTATTTCTGTGTACCAAAATGCATGACCATTTATAAACATATATGTACTCTTCCTGACAAGAAAAACTTTATTTCTTAGATACTCCTAATAATGATGCAGTCTTCAATATTTAGCTATGCACACACTACATTTAAAAAAACGCTATCAGATTAATTGGTGATGTTATTACTTTACTTTTCAAGGCAAATCTATGATATCATTATCATATTTCCAAAATAAATATTTTGAAAGGTATCTTTATAGTCATATTTGAGAAGTTGGGCAACTGAAATGCTTAATATAATATATATTCTATTTGTCACTAGACGAAGCAACAAAATTAGGAAAATGATAGTGATACGAAACCACCCACACTGGTATGCTCTACACACATCCATTGGTCCTCGATCTGTCATATTTATCTTGGGTTTGGTTTTCACCTCCTAAAGTTTAGTCCATGTCACATCGGATGTTTCACACTAATTTGAAGTATTAAACTAAGACTAATTACAAAACTAATTGCACAGATTGAGACTAATTTGCAAGATGAATCTATTAAGCCTAATTAGTCCATGATTTGATAACGTGTAGCTACAGTAAACATGTGCTAATGATGGATTAATTAGGCTTAATAGATTCATCTCGCGAATTAGCCACGGCTTCTGCAATTAGTTTTATAATTAGCTCATGTTTAGTCCTCCTAATTAGCATCCAAACACAAGGACTAAACTTTTGTCCCCGGATCCGAACACACATTTAGTCCACACACATACCATACAGCAATATAGTACAGCTAGACAGTTGCACTGGAGATTATCAAGCCTACTCACGCTAAATAATTCGTAAGTAAAAAATATGCTCATGCAACATAAAATGGAAAATTCTGAATAACCATATATACGTAGTTAAAGATTACTTTCTCCGTCCTAAAATACAAGGTATACATAACGCATGTGAATGTTGTCTTTTAAATTGAGTTATACAGAGTTATTTCTCCTAAATCACATAATTTAGGACAAATTTTGAATGATTGGACACCTTATATAGGACGGAGAGAGTATTAATAAATGCTGATATTATTTTATATGTCCTTTTCACTGGTCATCTTAAATCTTTTTCATGAATCCACTTATCCGTCTTATGGAAAAAAAGAAAGTGTTTCAGAAAGAATACACTCTAAATGAATTAATATGTCAAACTTTTCCAGTTAACAATAATGAAACTCTGACTTCCATCCTTGCCTATATATAATGCAATAACACTAGATAATGGAAAGAAACACAACATGATATCCACTTACATGAGAGAGAAAACTCCAAAATCAGTACAAATAAAGCCAAACCTATTTTGATGGTTGTTTTGTCAACGAAACTTACTAGCCACTGATGCCCATGCTTCGCTGCGGGTAACTCTTTTTGGATTTATTCTATTTACACCTTTATTTAATCAGAATAGGTTTGTCCCTCCTATTCTATCAATAAAGGCATATGTATCTTATCAAAAAATTGTTTACCACTTTTATGTACCTATGACAATTTGTAATGCATTTTGTTTGCTTAGTTTTAATGACCATATATCATTTTTATTTAGCTTAAATGTTGGAGAAAATTTTGTTAGTCCATATTCATATTTAAACAAATATTTTTAAAACTTATTTTTCCTTGTTATTCCTCAAATTAAGGGTCATGCATGACTATGGGATAATCAATTAGAGCCTTGCTTCAACTATATGGAGGTAATTTATCAATAAGATGACCCTAGAAGTTTTTCTTATTTATATATAGTTTATTTATGATCAAGAAGCAATGTTAGGATTTGTGGTATCCAACATCTCTAGATATTTGGCACTACAACAATTGCAGGATGTCATGAGTATTAGATGAGGTTAATCAAGCATATCTAATTTGTTGTATTTTTTGCTAGTGGCATTTGTCCATGCCCCGTAATTGTGCAATTATCCATATTAATAAGCACCAAAAAGTTGCTATTATGTTTATTTTTAGGAGGTCAAGTGTGGTGGCGTGGGCAGCATGGCCAAGTGTGGTGGCTTGTAAGACAGAAGTGCATGTGGCTCGCTCAAGATGCTTCATTTCAGTAGGAAGTTAGCTTTTGTGTTGTTGTTCGTGGCTCGATGTTATGATTATGCACAGTTTTTTCCTACTGAGAGCGTGTGAAGAGCATATTCATGTGAAGGAGGCCGTGTTCATTTTCATGTCGATGTAGGAGAGTTGATGTAATGAAAGTGAAGTATCATCGTGGCTTAATAAGACTATCGTCCCGATTATTTCTATGCATCTCGGTTCTTTGTAAGCGATCGAATTGTAATGCAACAACACATACATATATGCAATTATTAGGAGCTTACCATGGGTGCAAATAAGTTGATTGTATCCACTAAACTCTCAAGAACAACGATCAATGTTTGAAAATACCAAAGATAATAATTGAACGCACTGATCAGTTTTTTTTTCATGCTATAATGCATCATTTATACAAAGAAAATATCATAAGAGTGACTAATATAATACTTGATCCATGTTCATTGCATCGATGCATCAATATTGCGAGAAGGCAGGAAATTGCAGCATGAAGGGTCAATATCATGAACAGGTATGGCATTCAATGTGTTGCTATGCTAGCATGCATGCACTTCCACAGGAAGAAGACAAAAGGGCATCAAACGGGATGCATGCAAGAAATGTCACCATCATACTCTCTTTCTCTCTCATGTATTACTATGTGGTGAGCATGACCCTGAATAGCCACAGTTCTTTGTACCTGAACATGCATAGGCTCTACTCTGGTCATATAAAATTGTTATTTGCAGTGCAATTAACTTCATCAAACATATTAATTTATCAAGGCCAATCAAGTACATGGCCAGGCTTTCATATTTTTTCAATGCTAGAATAATGTGTCATTTCTAGGTAGAGTGCTATTTTTTGGCCTCCTAACCATAAACAATGCTAGCGCAATATTAGATATCACCAACAGACACATATAAGCACCTACTTTTGGCATGCATGTTTTATATAACCTATAGCGTTGATGTATTCCACAAGAAGAAGCCATAAGGACATGCTGCAGCAGAAGGTAGGCATGCATGAGATAGTGACCACTGCAGTATGCATGCATGCACGCATGGACTATCTAAACCACTGGCAGCATGCAACAGAATCTAGGCTGCTGTGCACTATCAGATTTTGCTATGTTTGTGTGTTCAGCGATCCAAGCCATACAAATCATATCAGACGGAGCTAGTAGAGCAAACTAACGTGGCCATGCTCAGAGGCCACGGAGACAGCGCGGCCTCATAATTTTAATTTCATTATTTGTTCTTGCTCTTACTAAAAGCTGGCTACTTTTTAGATAATGTGTATATAACATTATAACTATATCTTGCTAACTGTATTAATTTTCTCACAAGGCATCACATGTGTGTGTGAGAAAGAGAGTGAGGGGGGGGGGGTGAGAGCAGAACAAATGAAAGTAGGCATGCATGCATGTTATGTTACTTACTTCCACTTCATGAAGCATGGGAGCAACATGGCACCTCAACTTAGCCGGTTTTAGTGCATCAAGATAGAAGCGATGCTGCTCAGTTCGGGTGGCAATATCCACACCAAAGGCGACATCTTTGCCAAACATGGGGACAGTGAACTCAAGGATATTACCATGACTGATCTCAGACTCCAGTCCCTGGTAAAAATGAGCCGAGACCTCCGGCCCAGCCAGGAATGTTGTTTTCATCCCTAAGAAACTTATTGTGAACACACTTCCTAACTTTGTGTATTGCTCTTGAAGCATGGATGTGAAACCCTTGGTGACAAGTGTATGTAGAAGTCGAACGGCTGAGGTGATGCTAGTAATAACCTCAGGGGGGTGAGGCTGGGTATTATTGAATGATGATGCCGGAACAGCTGTTATTTTTGCCCAGGCAACCTTGGTGATTACTGCAGCGATGAAAACAAGTGCAATGGAGAATGGCACGGCACTACTGTTTACCATGTCCATGCTGCAGTTACATATATTGATTGAAAACCTGTAGAACCAAGCAGCAAGTGAATGCATTTAGTTTAGAATCTTTTTCTAAAAAATGTCTGCGGCTAGTTTTGAATCAAATTTACAATCCATGAGAGGTATGTAGCCTCACCTGATGCAGGTACGTGATCTGGGGAAGAACTGGAAAGACAATGCAGAACAGGGATGGATCACTATGGCGCGGCGTCCAGCGATGGCGAGCTACGGGCTGGCCTACCTATGCTATGCTACGCGTTCCTTATAAAGGACACGCTGACGATAACTGCTGCAGAATATGTATCTATCTATCTATCTATCTATCTATCTATCTATCTATCTATCTGTCTCTCTGTCTGTCTCTATCTATCTATCTATCTATCTATCTATCTATCTATCATGCTCATCATCTCATCTATCTCATCATCTATCTATCTCATCTATCTATCCATCTATCTGTCTATCTGTCTCTCTCTCTCTCTCTCTCTCTCTCTCTCTCTCTCTCTCTCTCTCTCTCTCTCTCTCTCTCTCTCTCTCTCTATCTATCTATCTATCTATCTATCTATCTATCTAGATAGCTACCTACCTACCTACCTTGGGTGCTTCGTGTCAATTATCATGATAATATGACTTTTACACTCAATAATGACATCTAGTATCTTACTTGAGGTGACAAGGTGATGTTGTCATTGTGATTATGAGTGATTGTCGAATCAGGTGAACTCCTTTTGATTGAGTTATTGTTGCTTATGACTAACTAGATAACTAACCAAGTTAAGGAAAAGAAGTGGCATTGCAACATGTCTCTTGGTTGTGTATGTGTAGGTGTTGGAGAAGAGTTGGCAGTTGATTGAGGGCAAGTGAGAGAAAAGCAGCGTGTCATGCCAATGTACCATGGGTGTGAAGGAAGACATAAGGCTTGGATTGAATGACCAAGGCCAAGAGGACCATGGGTGATCCACACCAAGCACAAGGGGAACAAACACGCATATGGAAGGCAACAAAGACAACATTGACCAAAGTCAAAGTGGGATCAAGACCAATTCAAGAAGCTAGCCGATGAGGACTTGATAATCATTAGTCTGAGGATGACATGGACACATGTTGATACCATGAATGAAAGTAATTTTATCCAAGTTAGATCGGGGTCTATAAACCCCAGCTTATAGACCTAGAGATATTCTCAAAAACGATCCATGATTCCCTCGAAGGGAAGTCCACAAAACAAACCATAATGTGATAGTCCCAAGAGATCACGCCATCACATTATCGAGATCTAGATGATACCACAGTTCATACATTGCGAATACCTATCATAGAAGGGTACAAATAGAGAGGTTTACCCATAATTATTACATCACCACATGGTGGAATCGCACATCACATACGCAACATCCAAAATAGCATCGGAGTAGACGTAGCATCTCCGCAGGTGAAGACTCCATCTCCACAGGCAGACTCAAGCGTAGGAAGAGACCTCTAATCCTCCCATCCGTCAGCCGGTGTAGTCGTACTCTGGCACCTCACATGTATCAACAATTTTCAGTATGATTCATACTGACCACTATTTCCCACCCTACACTTTGCTTTGCTATGTGGAACATAGTATGCAAGGGTAAAGAAAGAACCTACTATTTGGCTGTGGGTTTCCTATGCAAATCTCATCATAAAGTTACAGTTATCCTCAAGTTTTAACCCATTTATCCATTCATCCCATCCCCTCATCCACACAGTCACACCACAGTCTCACATCTCACCACCACTCTCTCTAGTCGACAAGGACAACTCCCACTCGTCCTAGCCTCAATGGCCTTAGCCTAGATCCTTATCCAAACCCATGGGGAAGAGAAGAAGGCACCACTCTCTAGTCAAGTAAAGCGTGAATCATAGGAATGCTCATGACCGTGGACACGGCTATATGTATAGATTGATCAACTCTGCAGATGGTATACACTTGTACCCACAAGATCACCATCATCGGCGGCGCCCCACCTAGACTGATTTCAGACTACCATCCAACCGGTACAATACCATCGTTGATAGGATAGTCGATCAGCTAAACATCCCTGGGCTGCTATAACTTTGGGTTCTGGACTTAGCTTACCCTTGATAGCTCTAAAGGCATTACGGATCGGCTCTGCATCTCGGACCAAATCGACGACATCCTTTTCCAAATAGATCAACATGTCTTGCAGCCAGTCCTTTATGTCATCGGCTAAAGGATTGACTGTCAGGTGTGTCTATGTGTCTCTTGAGCATACTTCGGTCTCGCCAAAGTAATCTTCAAGATTAAGCTCAAGCAAACTAAGAGGAGGAGATTCTTGGGCCTACAAGTTTTGAAAGAGAATAAGGCATCAACCAATATAAATACAAACAAGTAAGAATGATACCTGTTTCAGCCGAGCCTCTTGTCGAAGTGAAGGAACAGCCGTTTCTGCACCAAGACTCGTATCCACAGTTAGCTGAATCGGCTCAAAAGTACCAGGGTTTGTTTCTACATCAACTGATAATCATTTATTGCTAGCTGATGAATGAAAAGGAATAAGAGATGAAGTCGATATAGTAAAATCCATACCATTGTTTGACTAGTGGATCTCCTAACCATCAATAGTTGCCTCACCGGCCATTTCATCTTAAATCAGCTCTAAGAGGTTAGGAATCGACTCATTAGCATTCTGAGTGCTATCATCCACCACCTGAATGATCAGCGAATTAAGAAGACTTTGATCTCCTCTGGCTGATTCTCTAATTATTAGCTGTAAAGAAGAAAGAATAAGCTAACAATGATCATATGGTCCATATATATTGTGCAACTACCTTAGTAGCGCTAGTCAAAGAAGTCTGAATACTTGATCCTCCCACACTATCGAATGGATTTGGCTAAAAGGAGATATCAATCAGAATCAGAAGATGCCCAGTACAACAAACAACTGATGAAAATGGGAAACCCATTCATTGGGTATTTTTACCTGAGTAGCCGATGGAGTCATACGCACCTTCTTGTTTGTCATCTTCGATGTCTGAGCCCCAATAGCCTTGCGCTTCATTGGAATCAATATAGGGTCTGAACTCTTCATCACCTTGGCTAATGATGGGGCATTAGTTCCTAAACGTGGTTCAGGACACCACAATGCATAACCAATCGGCTGGCCACTCCTACTGACCGTGGGCGGATCTATATCAACATCCTGTGAAGAAAATGGTTAGATGTTTTGGAAATCAAACCATACAATTAGTTTTTTGAAGTCTCTTACTTCATTATCAGCTTCATAAGTATTGCAAAGACGCTGGCAGAAAGTTTTGACAGCATGACAAAAAAGATGATCTTTCCATTCTGCCCACCATTAGTTGAACAAATTGGAACTGAAAAGACCACACACAACAACTGATGGGTCAACACGAGGGATTGCCAATACAAGCTGACTGATCTTGTTGCATTCTATGCCATCCTTTATATATTCTCTTGGTCTTAGCTTATCGGCAAAATAGAGCTTGATTGGCAGTTGCCCAAGCCCCAATTGACGAGCTGCTGCCGATGGATTATAAAATTCATATGATGGTTTGCTGAGCCCAGCCTTGACGAAAATCAACTGGAAGAATCCCAGGACTGACAATATGTTGAAAGACTTCAGCACTGTCAGTATAGACCTTAGAAAATCTAAAGGCTGGAAGCTCAAAATCATCAGCACCCTCATAGATGAACCATATCATTGTGTCATTGGTAAAACCGTTGTAGAAAATCTTAAAGAAATCAGCTGTATCAGTTGGAGATGATGGTGGCCAAGAAAAAACCGATGCTGCTTCACCAAATGACATACATCGACGCCTTATTGGTTCTTCGTTTTCTGCTTAGTCAAAGGATGTAAAAGTGTTTATCCTGATGTCACGGTTCATCGCCTTTTGCATATGCAGATTCAACCATAGATGAATAAACCACCAAGGGGCACCAAGATTACTAATTGACTCCCCTTTTAACAGTTTTACTGAAACTTGGTGTAGCAAAGAGTAAGCTGACCCAAGCAAGTAGTCTCCAAGTGGAATTTTCTGACCATGGACTTAGTGTTCTGCTATGCACTGATAGTTGCTAGTAGGGCCAACACTTGTTCCACAAAAAATGAATTTTTCCAACCACATGTTTAGAAAAGTTGTGTGTTCTCTTTCACCAATGGACCCAATTTTGGTGTGTCTAGAGACATAACCAGACCATCCACCATGCTCTTTCGAGTGGAGTTTATGCGATGTCTGGTCAAACATTCTGAAAGTGGAAATGGATTCAGTAATATTAAGGCCGGTTATCATTACTACATCGGCTCGGGTTATAAATCATTGGCCCATTTCTGAACAGAAATACATTCAGGGCATCAGACCAGAAGTGAGATGCAGCTATCAATAAAGGTTCATTCCTTTCCAGATAGGACAAAGAGAGTGTGAGACATTGTCCTATTTTAATCCAGTCCCAATCAGCTTGCTTCTTAGCCGATATATGACGATACCAATCTCTCCAGCCAACAGTTGGGGTCGGCCATGATCTAAAAGTATTTGCCCAATCGGACAAACTCATCCGAGACTTTTAAAGGGAAGCCGCTGGGTTTCCAAGTTGATAAACTCGATCAGATCAGGATTTCATGGGACCCAAGAAGTGCATTCCAGGATATTTAGCATGAGGAATCAAGATGTCACCCTTAGATCCTAAGAGGAAAGGAGGAAAATAAATCAAAAGAGACGGTTTTGAGATCCAAAATCTTGAAGGATTGAGAGCAAAGAAAGATCCAACATACTGGAACATGTGTTGAAGTTCGCCATAGATCAAAGGACCTAGAGATCAGATCCAGTTGGTGGAGATTTCCTTTAGGTCTTCACTCAAGGCGAACAGCTACAGTGACAGATGCACTCGAAAAAAAGGAAGAAGGAAGCGAGAAAAGCAGGATAAAGAAAACATAGGCGTCAAGGCGCAATTATAGAATCTGGTCCGAGAATCGAGGAGCCATACGCCAAGA